GATGCAGCATAATCATTATAATTGTAATGTACATATTCAAATATATATTACAAACTATCAATACTTGTACTTTGATGTTAAGAGATTAATATTATTATATAAGCATCGAAAGTTCCGCTAAACACTACTGGTAACGACGTAACTTGCGACATTTGATTTTGGGAAAAGGACCCCTTATCAACAACAACAACAGGCCCGTAAGATGGACCACTGTAAATGTATACGAATCTGACTCAATAGGAGAAATGACAAGGCATGTCTGTTAAAACATCCAAAAAAGACCAGCAAATGCAAACGCATGCAAAGTGTGTGCGCCACAGAGCAAACTTATACGTAAAGCCAACTTCAGGAGACATGAAGTACCTGATGTGACTCTGAACACTTACGTGCGCTCTGCAGGTGTTTGAAGGCATTATTAACCGGCGCAGCAGAAACCTGCAGGTTCCAAACATGACCAAGCAAACATAATAAAACGAGTAAAGCCATTCCTGCGAGTGTCTGTATTATTAAGCCGTGCTTGTGTAAACCAAAACAGGAAAAACAAGAGGCGCTCACGTGACGCTTTGTTTGCTCAACCTTCTGCAGTCACGCGCACTGATTGGATATCATACACATCTGAAGCCTGTCATTATGATATCATCTACACACCTTACTCTATGTAAGGAATAATTGACGACGGGCCGTTGAATTATTAGAAAAAAAATGAGAGAGAGAGCGAGAGAGACAGAGACACACAGAGTAAGAGAGAGAGAGCTTGTGTGAATTAGGCTACCTCTGTGCGTCCCTCGACTATGGGAAGCCAAACAACCCAAATGTATGGAATACGTCTCCTCTGAAATGGGAATGTATTGTTCCCTGTGGTAACACTTCCCATTAAATCATGTTATGAAACATATTTTTTCCAAACCTACTTTACAGTGTCGGTCATCTACGGTGGTCTCTTCAAACTCCTCTCCCAATGTGAATGAGATCTCAGTGTTCTTGAAAGTACTCTGTGTTTTTAGGACAACTTTTTCTCCCTCTTTCGAGATGATGAGCGTCGGTTTAGTCACATTTCCAACTTGTCTTGTTGCAAACCCAACACCTTAGAAAAAAAAATCAGATGCATTGAATTCATGCAATGTTCACTTGGAATGTGTCTGTAATTCAAATAAAAATAAATTCCGAAATAATAAACTGTATTAATAATTATTATTACTGATGTTATTATGGTAAAACTTACCTAGAGCTTTCATATACTCATCAAAGTCGTCACTGCTGACCAGTTTCCATGTGCCACAGAAAGCATCTACCATTTTTTAAATGAAGCTTTTCTGATCAATAAACAAATGATAAACTTTATATTAATGCTCTGCAGAAAACGCAGCTGCATTTTCTCTTAAATAGTTTTTTTCAGCTCCAAGACAATGATTAAACAGGAGTGGGAGGAGTCAGATTTCCCATTGGCTGTTAGTCAAAACTGAAACATTTGACTGATGCTGAGCTTGTAAAAGTTTTTCCTAAACTGTAAACAAATTTGCGTTCCATTCTAACAAATGTTTTTAGTTCAATTAACTTTATGCTCTAAATTCTACATCTACAATCCTATTTTGTAGATAAAATCAAATGCTTTGTTTAGTTTCAAAAAGTTAACAGCAACAAAATTTTACATATAACAAAACTACATAAATTAATAGAAACGTATTTTGTTTTGTAATGATATTATGTTTTTTTTTTTCCCCAAAATAAAATCTACTGGAATATTGTGATTTTTTTTGTGCCCTTGTATTATAAAAGATATCTCTGGTGTCCTCTGCTGGTTACATAAACCACCACCACTGGTCCACAGTCCAAAAAATTAAAACTACAAAAACTAAGCACAGGATTTATTGTAGTTTTTAAACATAGCATAATGGCATTTTATATGTAGCTCACAACAGACAAAATGACACAAGATTTATGGCCTAAAAGTTTTTCCTAAACTGTAAACAAATTTGCGTTCCATTCTAACAAATGTTTTTAGTTCAATTAACAGCAACAAAATGTACATATCGCACCCATACATACATATATATACACACACTGAATATGCGATACATATATATATATATATATATATATATATATATATATATACACAATA